GAGGCGCGCTCCCGCAACGCCCTGAAACGCGTTCGGCGCCGTTGGACTCGCGCGCACCACCGCCGGGCCGTCGAGGGGCTGTTTCACCTCCAACGCGACCTCCTCGCGGGGAAACTCGACTTCGCGGAGCGGGCCTTGCGAAGGGAGCTGGAAACCCTCGAGGAAACCGTACGGGGTCGTCTGATCGCGACCACCGCGCGGGATCCACTTCTTCGATCCGCCTGTGAGGCGGAGGAGCTCCGCGGGCGCCTCGAGCTCCTCTACGAGGCCGCTTTAACGATTCGCGCCGTGGCCTTCACGGCCGGGCACGACGCGGCCGTCCGCTACGAAGGCGAGGCCCTCCAACGCGCGCGAAATCACGAGGAGGGGTGGGGGGAAACGGGGCCCTCCCTCGCGGACGTCCTTCGCGCCTCTCAGGGGATCCTCACGGAGGTGGAGGAGCCGAACCGGCGAGGGGGAATCGCCACGGCGGAGCGCCACGAACGCGCGGGGCTTCGCCTTATCGGCGAGGAATCTGCCGCGAGGGTTCGTCTTCTCCAGCGCGAGGCCGATCATCGCGGGAATTTAGAAAAGATTTTTTGGAAACATCTTCCGATTGAAGGGGGAAACGGGGGTCGGCCGACGTCCCCGTCGACGGCGTTGCGCGAGTTTCTCGCGCGCTCCGAAGGGGTTCTCCGGCGACGCGACCCCCCGAAGGGGCTTCGGGCGCTGCTTTGGGGGTTTTACGCGACCCGCGACGAGCTCGTTTTCGCGGAGATGGCGGCTCGTCGGCGGATTCGACGACTCGCCGGGCGGGAAACCCACACAGGTGGGGTGGGGATGCGTTTGCATAGCCTCGTCTGCACGAACGCCGCCTTCCGGGAGACGGAGATCCCACAGTTCGTGAGTATGTGGAACGCCGACTCGGGGTTGCAGGTTTCCGCGCTGAATCGGTTATATCAATATCAGGAAGGGGACCGTTTTAGCTGCGTGAGCGTCCCTTCAGAGCACCCGATGCGGTTATCCATGGGGAACGATGAAGTGGTGTTTTTTTCTGTCTTGAATCGGAATAGCCAGGTCGTGCACTCGGTGTGTTTTGTGATGGATAAGGAATGCTATGAGAAGGAGTTCACGATCATCTCGCTGCCCGAGGGGAACTGCATCATCCGAGTACTCCTGGAGATATGAGGTTGAATCGGCGCCGCGAATTCGTCGTCGCTTCCGTTCGCTGGGTAGGGGCATCGCCATTTCCCTTTCCCTTTTTTTTTTCTTTTTCTTTTTCTTTTTGCTCTTTATGTAGTATCGCTGATGAGCCTATGTAAATAAAGTGCTTCCAGTAGAGCGATTATTCTATACCATGACTGCTCCCTTTCTCTATCCATACTTTGTGTGGATATCTAAGTGCAAGAAACGATCGTGCTGCAACTTTATGACCGATCTTCGTGCTCGCGACAAAGTTCATTATTTCTACAGAGAAAAGCAGTCAGGTTTATGGGTTATACCCTTCACAATTTCAAGTCTATTCGTTCCGATAGATTTGTTTATTCTTTATTATGATGCTGATTACTGTTCGAATCACTCTTCCTATCTATCCTACCTTTTATTTTATGTGTTTACGTTTTCACTGTTTCAGCAGAAAATTGTTCCGCGTTACACTTTCCCTCTGTCGCTGCCGAGAGAAACGCGCGACGGATCCAAGACGGGATGAGTTCCACGGATCCAAGATTACACCAACAGATCGCAGAAGCCATCCTGCAGGATATTGATCCTCGGCTCACCATTAGCGCGGAGGGCAGTTCCATTTTCCACGACTTCTTTTCCTCCTTGTTGGGTGCCCTGAGGGAACATGGAGGCCTTACCGTCCACTCCCAACCCCCCATCCACCCCGCGACTTCGGAATCCGACGACTGATCACATGAACAACGTTCAGCACTTTCAGCAGTTCTCCCGGCTTCATTTCATCGGGCAGTGGCGCACGCGGATGGAGGATCTCTTCCGGGAGTGGTTTCACGCGCACCCGACGTGGAATCATGGCCCGTTATCCCGCCAATCGCTTTTCATTCACGCCGACCTGGACGCCTTTTTCTGCGCCGTGCAGCTCGCGAAGACGGAGAACGCGCATCTGCGGGAGAAACCGGTGGGGATCGCGGCGGGGAGGTCGAATAGCGATATCGCGTCGTGCAACTACGTCGCCCGCGGGTTTGGGGTTCGCGCGGAGATGTACGCGAACGAGGCGCGCGAGCTTTGCCCGGATCTCGTGATTCTCGGCTACGACCTGCCCGCCTGTGAGCGGGTCTCGAGGCGGTTCTACGAAATCCTCTTCGAGTCCTTCCCGCCAGGGGTCGGGATGGCGATCGAGGTGCGCAGCATCGACGAGGTCTTCATCGCGAGCGATACGGACGACTACGAGGTCCTTCACGACTATTGCGTGCGGGTTCGTCAGGCGGTGGTGCGGGAAACGGGCTGCACCGTATCCTGTGGGATCGCGCCGAATCCCCTGCTCGCCCGCCTCGCGACGCGGGAGGCGAAACCGGATGGGTTGCGCGTGATCCGCGAGGAGGCCATCCCGGCCTACGCGCGGGCGCTGCCGTTCGAGCGGATCCACGGGGTCGGCCCGCGGACGCTCGCCAAGGTCCATCAGCTCCTCCGCGAGCGCGGCGAGGAGTTTCCCCG